AAATGATGCACCTTATTTGTCTGTTTTCTGTGTTGTAATTATAGATAATTTAAAGATTACTGATTTTGGCTTGTCAACGGTTTTCCGACACAAAGGAAAGGAACGTCTACTGGGAAAATGTTGTGGGACACCTCCCTATGTTGCACCAGAGGTAGGAATAACATTTAAATCTTCAGTAACAAATCTTCATTTCTAAGCTTTTAACAAAATCTTCATTTCTCATGCAGTTGGTCCTGCATGGTTGTTTGTCTCCTGAGATCAGCAAGCCCTCCTTGTCTGGGTCATTGTAGGATTGTGTTGTTGAGTTTTATCTTTTTAAAATCTAATTTAACGAAAGACAGTAAGAGCATTTTGTCTGAAGACATGTATGCTCATTTAGAGAGTCCGCAGTCATTCTTAAATGAATTTCACATTGTGCAAGTCCAAAAAGAAGAAAATACAATGCACAGACAGGATTGTAGAAGGTTTGGTAAAGACACTCAACTTTCACAGTGCCTCTTTCCACTCTGGGGTGTAAATGGCTACAGTCAAACAGTGAAGAAAATTGTGAAGAAAATTGTGAAGAAAATTGTGAAGAAAATTGTGAAGAAAATTGTGAAGAAAATTGTGAAGGAAATTGTGAAGGAAATTGTGAAGACAATTGTGAAGACAATTGTGAAGACAATTGTGAAGACAATTGTGAAGACAATTGTGAAGACAATTGTGAAGAACAGGACAGCCTGTGATGGTTTAGCATTCCATCCAGATGGAACCATCACTTACATGTACCTACATGTGTACATGCAGATGTACTGTTCTTCCATGCCACAATAATTGGGACAAAGCCAAACAGTGACCTGGGTCACGTGACAGTATCTGGGCAGGTATGCACTTACCCCTCCCCTAACCAAAAAACAGTTGACTCAAGTTAAGGTTATTGTTGGTTTAGGGGAGGGGTAGGTAAGTAGATGTTCAGATACTCATGTTGATCCTTTCATCCTTACTCAAATTGTACATGCGAGACTAGTACCGTTTTCTTTATCTGTCTCTTTGTAGGTTCTTTCCAAGGGTGAATATAGAGCTGAGCCTGCAGATGTTTGGTCCTGTGGTATTGTTCTTGTTGCAATGTTGGCCGGAGGTGAGTAGTCATGTATTATTTTAGGGAAGATAAAATTAATTTTCAATTATTTAACAATATTGTTCAGAGGAAATGAAATAAACCTCAAGGCAGTTGATTGGACCAGTTACAAAAAAAACAATGTGTCACTGGAATTTGAAAGCCAACACATACTATTGTAATATGAAAATAATTATGAATTATGGGGTCTACCTCATCCCAGATGGAATCTCACTAATACCTACATAAACAGTAACTCTGGGAACATGACTTGAATTTTTTCTCAAAAATAGAGCTTCCATGGGATGAACCGACAAAATCAAACAAAGAGTATAATGACTGGCTCAACGACAGAGTAAACAGAACCCCATGGCTCAAGATGGACCCTCAGTCATTAGGTTTGTTCATTTTGGTGATGTTACTAGTTTGAGTGTGGGGGTAGAAGCAGGGCTATAGATAGACACTAACTTGTCAACTTACTAGCCCAGTGGCTGGTGACAACTTAGATGTTACAACAATTTCAGTTTGTTTACTAACCAAATTGGCCAATGAAAACTGAAAACCACCAGCCAAATCTGAATTTCTACTAGTCTGTGGCTAGTTGGCTACTGTTACAGCTGTAGTGTTGAGCCCTGTAGAAGTGATGCATATAGAAAGTATTTTGATGGGGATTATGGGTTATTGTTAAAGGTAACTGAATGCTAATAAGACAGACAAAAGTTTGGTTCTTGGAAAATGTTTGGTCATTTGTTCTGTGATGTTAGTAGCTGTTTGTTTCAAGTATTGTTGGTTGTAGAGATGTGATTGGTCTGTCTCAATCCACTGCTGAAATACCATGATAGGTATTTCGTCTCAGTTCCTTGTTATTGGTCATGCTACCATGTGAATATGTTGTCCTTTGTGGGTTGGTAGTCCTAGTTGACATCTAAATGTAAGTCACTCTTCTAACCTACAGATTTCTTGTCAAAAATTCTTGTGGAAAATGCAAAAAGGAGGTTAACAATACCACAGATAAAGAAAGAGCGATGGTTTTCTCGGTAAGGTTGTCTCTGCAATTTGCTTTTATACTTAAAACCTTTAACCTCTAAGAGTGAGCAGCATCGTATTTCTCCTTACATTCACTGTATCAGCCCACAATCAAACATTAAGGAGATGAGAATTTAGGAAATCAAATGGTCCTGCATAAAGAAACTCTTGATTGTCTAACAAATTCTCCCTGTTGGTACCATTGGAAATGTTGAAGTGTAGTAAAACTAAAGAAAGCGTGACCCTAGCGCATTGAAACGTGACCTGTCATCCTAAGTTTAAGAATAGATTAATTACTAGATTATTGTAAAGCAGAAATATGATCCTTGTAACATGCAAAAAATGTGTAAAGTGTAATCTTAACAGAGCAGGATTTATGTAGCTAAATAGGGTGGAACAAAACATTATGCTCACGTTAGAAATAAGGTGTTTAGTAAAAAGGAAACCACACACCAATATGTATATACGGTAAGCACTTTGATTTAGCAATAAAGGTAGATGTAATCAGGACTAGAGTGTGTGCAAGTCTCTCTCTGCTAAAAACCCAAAAACCAGCCAAGTCTAGAGCGAAACAAGCAGTCAGCACTTATCTGTTGGCCATGAAACCTTCCTTGTTGTAAAGGAAGTAATGTTAGGGAGGATATGCATATTCATTTGATGTTAGAGTGTTGAGTGTTAAATTCCCTAAGTATTAATGGACATCCCACCAAATGTTAAATAAATTTGTTGAATTCTTCTTCATTTAATTTTTCCTCCAGATCGATAAGTGCATCAAGAAGTTCAAGAGATGGTCAGTAATTGTCCATAAAATTACTCTGACTCATTTCTGATCAGATTTAAGTACATCTCACTTGTCTAGTGAATCATAGGTGAAATAGATGTATATGTACTGCTGAATCCTGATAACTCAAACCTTCAAGTTCAAGTTATCAGGAGTTGAAAACAAATGAATGGGAATAAAGGAAAAATGGTATTTACTGTAAGTTTTTCGCTATCCATACAGCATACATTTAAATCAAATTTAATCCTAGAGAGGTCGAGTGAAAATGGAACACTAAATTACTGCAGCAGTAATCATAAGGTAACGTGAATGTTTTGAACTGCAATACACTGTTTGTTTTGACTTGTCACATATTGACAGACTTGGTTTGAGTTATTGAAGGTAAAAATATTTAATATAAATTATAATATATATATATATTTAGTGTAATTTCAGAGCTGAGCAAAGAGTTTCTAGCAATCTGATTGGTCGAGCGGTTCCTTAAATGATGCTATATAAACCGCTCCAAGCGGTTTATATAAAATGTTAAAATAAAATGTTAATAAATGTTACTAAAAATGTTATGATTTTAGAAATTTCTCTGTTGTTTAGCTCAGAAATTATACTAAAACAATTACTTGCCTCAGGTTCGGTGAACATGGTAAATAATCCCCTCGACTTTGTCTCGGGGATGATTCGACGATATTCACCTTGCCTTCAGCGAATAATTGTTAAATATGACCTGATGGGAAAAGTTGCTTCAAGTTAGTGGGAGGGTAACTTTGCAGTAGATGTATGACACAACTCAAGGGGAAGTTTATTTTGGTTCATGTTAGTGCAAGGTTGGAGTTAGCAGGGTTTGAGTTATCGAGATTCGACTGTAGAAATCTTTCTGTTTTTAAGGGTGTTCTCCAGGGAACACACCCACTGGTACTGGAACATTTAAGAGAAGATGGACTGAGGCAGATGTTTCTTCTCCACAACGGCCAAAAAGATACAGGTGAGCAATGTGCTGTGACTTGCCATATTTTTATAATCCTGCATTGTCCTCTGTAAATATTTTTCTAGACTACAGCATTTATCCTAATTTAAGCAATGATTAGCATGGGAAATTTTCAGTTAAGAAGTTTGGATATAAGCTCTCACCTATTTTAGGCAAAACAATTTACATCATTTATAATACTTCATTTCACTAAGTTGTTCAAAGCATGATCAATACTAATGCAGATCTCACTGCCATGGCAAGGTAAATGTAACTTGTGTTGTTTCCTAGACAGCTTTACTGTTAGTTTAAAACAACACAGCCCATGGTATGAAATAGTGCCAATAAACTGTCATTGAAAATAAATTCTGAGTTGCAAAATTTGTTTCGCACATTTCCAAAATCCAGATAAGCTTCTTCTGTTAGCGTTGCATGAACTAGGCTTGCAAAACTTTCATCTGATCCTAATAGGCCTTTTGCAGCTAGAGATCACGTGCTTAGATACCGCATAGCAACGCCATACTGGAGAGCAAGAACTCCACTGATCTCAGACAGTATAGAGGTCACAGAGGTCTGCATTCAAACAAAGAATACAGCGGATAACAGGTTAAAAGGTATCCCAATTTGAGAAATCCAGTAAGAAGAAATCAACAGCTTTCCCAGAGTGTATAAGCAGCAAAATCACACCAAAATTCGTTTTTCGCTGATACACTCCAAGGAAGCTGTTGATTAAAACTTACAAGATTTCTCGAATTGGGATACCCTTAAACTTGTTATCCACTGTATTCTTTGTTTGAATGCAGACCTCTGTGATCTCTATTTTGTCTGAGATCACTGGAGTGCTTGCTCTCCAGTATGGCATTGCTATGCGGTATCTAAGGACGTGATATCTAACTGCAAAAGGCCCATTGCACTCTTTAGGGATCATATATCAGCCTCTCAGCCTGAGCCCCACAGACTGGACAGTGGTATTGGCAGTGCTATATTGGAGGATGTTGATGATGAAGCAACAGTAAATGGATTGTGTTTCTCACAGCCTGTCCATCTGGATCACATGTTACTAAGCACACAGATGCAGTCAACCCCTGGAGCATCACAGGTGAAGGTGAAATGTTTTTACGTATTACTTTTGTATCACATGACAAATTGCCCGTCTGATTTTGTGCTGAAAAAAAAAAAAAACTTTCAAAGTGGTGAGTCTTGATTATCAGTCCTTCATCAAGTACTCTGTACCTTCACATGAATGATCACACCATGAGGTTAAATGTAATAGATATTACATTTTTAATCACCAGGCCCAGTTGTATGAAGGGTGATTGGTGCTAATTAACCCAGGTTTAAATTTTAATCTAGGTTTCTATATTTCTCTGTTCAAGAGCTGTTTTGGTATAATTTTTCTAATTCTTTTTAGAGTATTCAATCATCAAATTGTAGACAAATGGAGTTAATTTAAAACTGAATTTACTTTTTAACACTTTCAGATCTGAAATCAAATTTCACACTAACCCTGGGTTATCTTAACCCAACTTTGAACAACCCAGCCCAGATGACAATAATGATAATGATTTTAACATGCAATGTAACATTTCTTTACTGCTATCCCTCAGAATCCATTCCAAAGACTGGTTAGGCGTATGACTCGTTTCCACACTAAGAAGAGTGCCGACAAGACACTTCACAAGTTAAAGGAAGTCTTGGACCACCTAAAATATAACTTTTCAGTGAATTCCCCGCGACAGGTAAAGACATACGTTTTAATGTTTATACTCCTCTAGAGCATTAGCCAGATTTTAATTATTTGAATGCACATTTCTCCAAAGTATTACAAGTTACATTAAATTTTGTTTATGGACCTTCTTTTGCAAGAGAGCAAAGTGAAATATCTACCTGATAAACTTCATGTGCAGTAATTTTCATACATTTACCTGTCTGGTAGGAAAAATGTGCTCATGGAACAAAAATTAATCAAAACAATTCATTCTTCTTTAATACAATAGGTCACAATATTCACAACTGACAGACGACAAAATAAACTGAGTGTTAAAGTAAACCTTATTGATATGCATCCTTCTCTGTTGGTGGACTTCAGGTTATCCAAGGTAAATAAACATGATCCTCCACTACTAATGTAATGTATGGAATTGACAGGCAAGGCTTCTCTTAGATCTGGATTTTTATCAAAATTTCAACTCTAAATATTGCATCTTTAGTGGCATGATTGGTTCACTCTACTTTGGTTATCAGCTTGTATTTCAAGTCACCTTATGTGGAGATGCATCGTGCTAATTGATGTGGAGCTGTAAAAAGGCTCCAAATATCTGAATGTGTAAGATTTGATGAAAATTAATGATATTTAACAATTATTCCATGAGCAAGCGTTGGATATGAGATAATAGATAGCCAACGAGCACCTCGTTGGCTAGAATCATCTCATATCCAACAAGCGCGAGTGGAATAATTGTTTTATTAACAACGTTAAGTTAAATTATTAAATTTTATTAAATTTTTAGCTCCGTTTAATTTTAAGCTGACATGTATGCTTACCATATTGGTAGATTATGGTATATTGGCTGATATACCATAATGGCTAAGCCAATAAAAATTCTTTACTTAGTTTATCTAGTTTTTAATAATAGCAATTATTCCATTCGTGCTCTTGGATATATATAGGTCACAATATTCACAACTGACAGACGACAAAATAAACTGAGTGGTAATAGCCAACTTGGCACTACGTGTCTTGATGGTTATTTACCTTCTCATATCCAACTCATGCTCATAGAATAATAGTGAAACAACACAGGCTTTTGAGAACACAAAACTTGCCTAAGATCCTATAAACTTTTCAGAGATTTTTTTTTTTTTTGAGAAATTATGGCCTTGCTTTACAGCTCAGTGGGCAGTGGAACCCGCGGAGGGAGGAGTTACATGTAATTCCCTATTGAAGCCTGGATTGGTACTTTTCAGTAACAACTTATTTTCAGTTAAGCTGTTAAGACTAGTCTGATATGCTTTATCATATCCATGCCTCAAGATATGATTTATTTAATTAATACTACAACTGTGGTTAACTTTGCACATTTTTTTCCTCTCAGGGTGATGGTTTAGATTTCAAGCGTCACTTCCTCAAGATTAAGGCTCAACTGAAGGACATTATTGACAGGTAGCAGGTCAATTAATTGTGGATGCCACACGACAATGGGTGCATTCAAAGACTTTGTTGTGCCAAAGCACACCCAGCATGTACATTACATTACATTACTGTAAGCTGCAAACTATTAACAGCCCTTGTTGTTGTTGCTTTTTTTAGCTTAAACAAATAAATTAAAAAAGATAACTAAGGCATTTATGTGATAAAAAGAGAAAGAGTTAAAGATATACTTGTTCCTGTTCAAATTAATCTTTTGTAACTAACAAAAGACCATGTTTTGTACATGTATTTAATTGCATACAATGATGGATGCATCAAAATTGTTTATATACCTGTGTGGGTATGGGGTAAAGTTGTTAAAGTCTAAATAAAGGATTGAATCAAGAAAGGAAAGTGGTCTTTTTTATGGACTCTTGAAAAACATTTACTAACATCAGTATGGACATTCTATACAATTCTGGGCTGCTTTAGATGAGTTATCATTTCCCTTATTCTCATGACCTTTTGTGTGATTCAGGTGTGATATTGTAAGGAGAAATTAGATGCTAATCACCATTACGGAATGAAGGTTTAATTCCTCAGGAGAATCAAACAATTTGGTGGTCAACACCATGAGCTATTTTAATCTTTACAAATAATTCTGCATCTGATTGTTCATTATAATGACGGTACTGGTAATGTAAAAAATTTTCAAAAAAAATTACTATAGAAAAGCTTTTATATCTGCATACAGACTGCATTCTTTCATTTAATTTTAATGAGTAACAAATGATTATTTTGTTTTCATTACCAATTTATTATAAACCCTTTCACTCACAGGGCTCCACACTAACTTTTCAACTTACTAGCCAAGTGGTTAGTGACATCTTAGACGTTTTTAGATCTTGCGACAATTTCAGTCTGTTTACTAGCCAAACTGGTTAGTGGAAATTGAAAACCATCAGCCAAAACTGAATTTCTCCTAATCTGTGGCCAGTGGGCTACCGTTAGTGTCGAGCCCTGACTCCCAAGATTTCATTTAGTAATTCTCTTAACTGTTTGCTATACAATTCTTGTGATCTTTCTTTGGAGAATTTGGTATCAGATCAGCTAACAATCCCATACCTGATACTTTTATTTATTCTCATAACCTGGCTGCTTGATTTTGTATTGATAATGTAAGGAGAAATTCTGTCTTGGTCACTCATGGGAGGTAAAGGGTTAATAATGCCACTAAAATCAAAGATTGGTTCAATGCTGCTCAATATCATAAAAAAATCTGACAAGGTGATAACGAATAGTAAATGCAATAATGCTTCCACAAATCTGCAAAGAAAAGAATTCAAAATAAGCTGGCTGCATGGATCTTTATGTATGTGTGATGTAAATCACACCACAGAGGTTTAAAACCTACATGTATCATATACACGTATTGCAGTTAACTGTTACCTATGAAGGATTATGTACACTATCCCTGGCTTATCTCAAAATAAGCCAAGGCCTAGAAAAATTATCTTGAGGAAAATATTTTCCTGACAGGCCCCCCCAACTCAGTCTGTCATTACAAAAAGAAACATTATATAAAGTACTGTATGCTTCATGGCCAATTTACAAATTAAAATATGTGAATGTAAGTTAACGTTGGTCCTTCATAATACTTCTAGAAGTTTCAATAGATTTACCTGTATTCCCATGATTATTATCGTCAAAGTTCTTTCATGTAAGGGTCCCGGCAATTTGATAACAAAGTTTATAAGTGTCAAGTTGTTCACGCGTGTAGATTTCTTGTCTTCACCAACACCTTCCTCCACTGTAACTAATCTTAGAAGATTGAACACTGACAGTATAAGTTTCCCTAGCGGATGAAGGTCAGACATTTTAAACACACTGTAACTCATTCCTAGCAAGCCAGTGTCTGGGTTAAACCTATAGAAGCAAAACGTTCATCAGTAATAAATTAATAATAAATAAACTAAACTTTAATAGAGTAAGGCCTGTATGTCTGTTGATTCAGATGTAGAGCTTAAACCTGAGTAATTCCATAGTCATAAAAGTTCCTGGATATTCAGTGGTTTCAATTGAAATTCCTTTTATCAGGATTCAACTGTAATCTCATTAGTTGACCTTTAGAACCTAACATCAGTACGTATGCGTATTCCTCATACTGTTCTTTACACATTTCCTATGGTGCTGACAAGGAGAATTTGTTCAATAATCAAGGGCAGGGCTCGACACTAACTTTTCAACTTACTAGCCAAGTCATTAGTGACAACTTAGATGTTACGTCAATTTCAGTTTGTTCACTAGCCAAACTGGCTTGTGGAAATCGAAAACCATTAGCCAAAACTGAATTTCCACTAGTCTGTGGCTAGTTGGCTACCGTTAGTGTCAAGCCCTGAAGGGCTTTTAAAAGATGATGATCATTTCCTTAATTCTCATGACTTTAATGTTTGATTCAGTACGGATACTGAAAGGAGAAATTAGAAACCAGCCACTCTTAGGAATTAAAAGGTTATTGTTACATTTCCAAACTCACCTTGGTAGTCGATGTCTTGGACATGGTATGAAACGAAACAATTGAGGAATGGAGTAAAGAAAGTTGATAACTTGTGGAATAAAGAACAGCAACATTGTTTTACTGAAATGTCCTAGAATGCCAACTACTGCAAACGTCATTCCTGCAAAATAGCAGAATGTGTCTCCAACAAATACAGAGGATGGGTACCTAAAATGCAATATTGGAAAAATATGAGAAAGATGTGTGGTTCACTTTTGTCCTTGGCTGAGAGTTTTATTACATTGTTTTTGTGTAAGGTAGGAAGTAATACTCGTGCTTGTAAGTACAGTGTCATCTGCATAATATACATGCAGCAAACAGTGATCTTAATGAACTGCAAGCCAAAGAAGTTCAGATACTCGAATTTGATCTGCCAATTTTAGGGAAATTTAACAATAAATCATTCAAAGACGGACTAGTGCATTATACTATTACAATAGGAGCTACTGGCAAGATTTGTGCATCATGAAAAAAACAAGATTTAACCTAAGTGTGGTGATATTTTTCAAGTTAGTCATTTTCAACTCTGTTAATCTTCTCCAAAGTCATCCACTGGGAAATGCTGATGTCACAGAGAAAGCCACTCAGATGTAAGAAAAATGAACTGTGCACATAAATGCTGATTAGTCGGTGTTTTAGAGGTGATTTTGCAAGCCTCAATTAGAATTGGTCACAATACCATACACATGCTACCCACATTTCAGGTGATCATGTTTTTCCTAGTTGGACAATACACTGTCTTTGTGACAGGAAGAAATAAAAAATGTGTTACACCTGTCTTAATTCAGTAGTTTTCACAGCATTCAGGCAACAACTCACCAGTTATGATAAAGTAATGCTGAACATGTGGCAATGAAAGGCATCATGAAGTACGCTGAGAACAAATGAGCCTGCCAACAACAAGTTCCTTGGAGCTCAATGAAATTAAACATCAGAATGGAGACAGCAATGATGAGCGACTGTCCTGCCTCAACGCCATTGATACCAGCCAACATGTTGATTGCATTTGTGCAGAATATTGCCAACATTCCCATATAAACATAGTATAATATTCCTGAAGAATAAAATGGCAGCATGTGTCTATTCATTTAAATAGTCTCAGTTATTTGAATTCTTGACTTTCATAATGCTTTGTACGATAATGACTTCCACAGGTCACTACAACCAGAAATTAAAGCACTAATAAAACCAACTGACTTAGGTGGCCATATTTCAAAACTGTGCTTCATAGAAACCTTACCTAGATCTAAATCAAAGCCAAAAATGAATCTGATGGGTTTTGGTACAATGATTGTTGTAACACCAATATTAACACAGTAGACCATAAGGAGGGGAAGAGAAGCCATTGCCGGCAGAAGAAGCCTGTCTCGCCACCTGAGATCAAGAACATCATCCGCAAAGCCCAGGAAGATCATGCAACAGATTGACAGCAGGCCAGTGATGAACATCACAAACTGTATAAAGAATGGTGATGTTTGTTTTAAATTAAGACTAGATAGAGAACCTTGCTAGATATCAAACCTCACAAATTCAATTCCTTTTTATTTCATAGACTGTGATTAAATCTCAAACAGCACCAGATAATAAGGTAATAAGGTAAGTGGACAGTCTTGACTTGAAAGTTGATTTGTTTAAATCTTAACTGTTGTAAGGATCACAAGACAAGTTTCAAGACACAAGAATGATATTTTAAGTGTCCTTTACTGATATTTTGGTCAAAGAATTTTCACTAATTCTCAGTTACAGAGCAAAAGCAATTTATGCAGTCAAAGGGCTCAACATATGGTTCCCTTATTTGCATAACCTGCTCAAAAATATGTTTCAAAAAGTGTACAGATTTTTTATAAGCAGGAGAAGCTGCTCTTACTCTCAAATTTATAAGATAAACTCACCTCGTGATGTGGAAAATCATAATCACCTTTCTCAAACCAAATAGACAGAAAAGGGATTGGGATGAAAAGAAACATTGTAATGAGAAATACTGCTCCACTCACAACTCCTAGACCCTCTGCACTGTGAAATTAAAAAATACATGAACAGTACTTAACATTTGATCTGTAAGAGAAATATTCACAATTTTTTAGTCAACATGACTGATAAAGTAAATGATTTGAACCCTGGAGCAACAGTTAATCATGTAGTCCAACTGTGCATGTGAGGATAGTCCTGAAAATAACTGTTGTAGCAACTGTGACTGCCACTGCTACAGACAACCCTCCATGTCAGGACTCCTTTCACCATGGCAACTTTGAATTACCATCAGCTCATCAATTCTCTTTAAGGTATATATCACTTATCAAGAGATAGGGGCAGTGAATACTGAGAAGCATTCAGTAGAATCTCTGAGGATTTAAAGGGGGAGGGGGGGTTTAAGCTTAAAGGCTCCTCTTCAGAATCACGTAAATTATACAAGGAATAATAATCTGGACTAAAGTATTTTGATTTCTGACTAAAGATCAACACAGCTGTGTCACCAAAAAATACATTAATTTATTGATAACAAGAAATCTGCAAAAACAGCTTTTGCAGCAAACATCGATTCTAATACTGCACGGCTACGATAAGTAGAATAAAACTTCGGAGTCAATTAACAAAGCTGTTCCATTCTCTTATATTAATCACGAGCCTAGTATGTGATTTGATAACAAATACTCGTTATGGTAAACCACTCGTTTGAACTGGAGTACGACTAATTAATTGCAGGGCGAATCACCATGCAACATGAGTCAGCCATAAGAATAGAGCGTCTGGAAGTATCCTCTAGCGATAACTTCAAGATCGCCGTTGTTTAACTACCAAAGCCCCGCTGAAAAATATCCAGACTTACACTTTCTCCTTGTTGTCTTTCTTGTTAAGGTCTTTCCCGCATAGCCCAGCTTTAACGAACAGCGATTTCATACCTGAGATTAACTTCAAGGCCACAAAAAATGTCACAAAGGACATGACAGAGTTTACAATTAAAGGATATATCATTCTGTAGATCATTCTCGAGTATCTTTTCCAGATTATCGCGTCGTATAATCTAAGCTTTATGCAGGACAACTCGAAATCAATCTCAAATCTCAAAACCTCTGTACTCATGAGAATAACCGCTGACTTTATGTTTACTCGTAACGACTGCGATTAGACGTGAGATCTGCGCGATCGCGCGAGACTCTCCGCGAGATGTCACAATATGTCTCTAAGCAACAAAATGATTGACAGGCCCGGTTTTCTAGCATTTGATTGGTTATAAAACTATTACGCAATGTTTTACAGCTCAAATTTTTTTTT